GGCAGAAGAATAAAACCTTGTAGGCAGACAATTTATTATCTGCTTGTCTAAGGAGGCATCATTATGTTGTTCATTACAGCAGTGTCTAGACTGCACCGCAGTAACAAAATGTGCTGCTGACATAAATACTCACACTCTGGCCAAACTCCTTCCATAGCCTGGTACACGCAGTCCGGCTACGGCCTCCCCTCTTTGTTGAAATTCATCTCATTTTGCTTCATGCTTCATCTTGGAACATAGACGCACCAACTTCTCTGACCTAATGCAGTTAATATCTTGGAGAAGCAATGGTCCATGCTGTAAACACCTAACAAACACATACATTGCCTCACTTTGTGATTTTATTTATGGCATATGCAGCTGTGAGCATCTGCTATGGATAATGCGTGCTAGAATCTTCTAGTATGTGCATAGCCAGAAATATCCATGGATCTGGGATAAAAAGGAACTTTTTTGATGAGTTTCTTTCTTTAAATGTGGAAAATTGGCGTTAGGGTATATTTGTCATTTAATTGATAACAGAATAGAACATTCAGCACTGATCTCTAAAATAACGAGAAGAAAATATAGTTAATTTCTTACATCTACATGCAAAGCTAACACACATTCTCTTTTCGTTGTTAGAAAGGCTGCAGATTTCATTAGGTTATTGAGCTGTGACATACAACAGTTTAAGCTACTCTGTTTCGCTTCAGGTACTATCATTACTTCTAATCCTACATCTTTCATGCAAAATGAAGAAAACATAAAGCACATTCCTGTGAATGCTTTGATTAAATATGAAACAAAACCAAGGTAGACACAACGTGGCATCTGAGTGATAAGAAAACTCTAACGCGGTAGATCTTGTACTGAGGAGTGGAGTTCTGTAGGAATTTTAAGTGTATATCATTTAAAAGCAAACTGCCGACAGATGTTTGCTACAATACTTGTTAGAGGGCTTCGTTATTTTTATAACCTTTTAAATTCCTCTGATTTATAGAAAACAGCCATTTAAAGTCCATAAAAGTTAATCCCGACCATGGAATTATTTGCCTAAAACAAAATTTCCTCCCTTTGCTGAGGGCTTTGCCCGCATGGGGAACTGTTAAAGGGCAGCTGCGCAGGGCTACCTGCTGCCTGAAGGCACCGAGTCCCCAGACTGTTCACACAAGGTCTTCAGGGGCCCTTGCCTCAGTTTCTGAGGGTTTCAAACAAAGTCTTTACACAGAAGTAAAGCGTATTCTTCCTTGGGTGCTTCCTGAAGTCAAGCCAAAACCAAAAAGTATTCAAAAAGTATTCTGTGCATGCAGAGTGTGCAATTGTCGAAGATCAACAATTTATCTCAAACCCCATTTCCTCCATCACCTCTGATAACACCGTTCCTCTAAGATTTAGCTTCAGTACCTCACATACCCCTCACATACCCCACATGCCCCTCACATACCAGAGATTTCATAGGCTGGCTTAAAAAAAAAGAAGTAACGAGAATGTTTTTGTAATGGAAAAGGGATTATAAATTATGGGGTTTTTCCCCTTTATCTCTCAACAATATCCAAAGAAATTTTGTTCTCACTACCAGGTCACTCACAATGACCACTTACAGCACAAATTATGGTAGTCACTAGACAATATTTTAATTGCACAGACCTATCTCTTCAATTAACCGTCATGACTAAATTTCATGCTAGGCTGGAGCATGGTAAATATTTGCTGAGAGTGTGTTGTTTGCTTTTCAGTCATGATGATTAATGCAAGTTAATTGGCAATCAACTCAAATTATAGCAGGACAATACTGGAGACTGGATGTAGGGGTTGTGTCAAGACAGATTTTTTTCCAAATAGATAGGATTTATGGCAGCCAAATCTTGTTTCAGATTCACAGGTTTGAATCTGTAGTTTTAAACTACTCTGCTCCACTGTGCAGCCTCTCTAGACTGTGATTTTTGTATATCATTTTTATATCAAAATATAACCAAATCAGTCCAGCACACGTGATTTGCAAACATACTCTGCAGCACATGGCTTCATAACTTTGAAGTCATGCTAGCTGGGCCTACCTGAGGTGTTTCAGGTCTTCTTAGATACGATCATTTCAAGAAGTTCAGTTTTTGTCAACTCAGCAGACGTACAAACCTTTGTACAGAAACGGTGAGAGCAGGTATCTCCCCCCCAGTGCAATGCTTGGCTTTCCTCCTGGGCAGCCTGTTGCTTGTGCAATGTTTCTTCCCATCTTTTTAACGTGTGAACAGAACGTACTCCTGCCTCAGGCACTAATCACTGCTATGCCTCTGCTCTGGTTAGAGGAATTCCTTCCTTGAAAGGCAGTGAGTATTGTGGCTCATGCAGCAATCGATCCCCTTTCCCACAGCAAACTTTCTTTTTGTCTTTGTCCTTAGGCATCGTTTCAACCCTAGAAAATGGGATTCCAGTTCTTTTCCTACAAATCAGGGCTCTGGCTCACAAGCTGACCCACTACAAGAGCATGGCTGGAATGGAAATATGGGAGTGGAGCTGTTTGCTCTAGTTAACAGTTGTTGTTTACTAGAATAGTAAGAACATAATGTTTTAATATCCCAACCCATTATGACCTGGTTTAGATATAACCAAACATCAAAGCTAACCAATGAGAAACAGACAGTACAGCATTGACTCACTCACTGTACTATTCTATAGATGTGTGGAGACATATAATTATTTTTCTGAACCAAAGTTTTATTTGAAAACAAAAATGTTCACGATCTGACTTTATGGCTTGTTTTCATATTTTGGCATGGTATATTGTATTGGAAAAAAATGTCTTTAATTAAAAGCAGCCTTTTGAACATTACCCCAGACTTCAATTTTCATCTCCTGTTTTACTGCTTCTCTCCATGTGCCCTCTCCCTCCCACATATACTCCATGTATTTAACCCACCCTTAAAAACTTTCATTGCTTCCTTCCCTATTGTTTTGCAAGTCCTCCTCTGAGGTCTCTGTGCCTACACAACACCCTCTGAAGACTATCCGTGCGGAGTGTAGCCCCTGCATGCTGTTTGGGATCTCCTTGCTGTCCCCACAGAGTGAGTGGATGTGCTGCCAGGGCTGATCAGGAATTTCATAATGACCTTTCTACCCAGCTCACGAGTGCTTTGCTGGTGTCACCAGGAGCTGAAGGGAGGTGGTCTCTCACGCGCTGCCGGGGCTTCTGCTCAAGTTAGCAGAGCACAGCATCACAGAAGGGCTGAGGCTGATCTGAGACCAGACAGTCTGATCTCAAGATGATCTAGTCCACCCCCCTGCTCAAGCACGGTCACCTAGAGCCACTTGCCCAGGGCTGTGTTGAGTTGGGTTTTGAATATTTTCACAGATGGAGGCTCCACAACCTCTTCGGGCAACCTGTGCCAGTGCTCAGTCACCTACACAGTAAAAAGGTGTTTCTTCAGGTTCAGATGGAGTTTTCTGTGTATTGTGCCCATTGCCTCCTATCCTGTTACTGGGCACTGCCGAGCAGAGCCTGGCTCCATCTTCTTTACACCCCCCTATCAGCTATTTATACACATTGATTAGATCCCCCCTCAGCCTTCTCCAGGCTGAATGGTCCCAGATCTCTCAGCCTCTCCTTGTATGTCAGACGCTCCAGTCCCTTGACCATCTTTGCGGCCCTTACTCCAGTAAGTCCACGTCTTCCTTGTACTAGGGAGCCAGGATATTACAGGAGAAAAAGGACAGTCTTCTGGCTAAGGACATTGACTGCCATCTTGTACACATAAATTAACTACCATTAATCAGCCCAAAGTTCTCATAAAATTTTGGCTTTAATCTCTCTTTATTTCACTATTTTAGCTAAAAAGCAGACATAACAATACTGTCTACTATCAGTGGGTTGCTGGATGAAGACACTTTTTTGCCAGTGCCCGTGCTAAGGTTTCAGGTGCTTTTCTGAGAGCAGCAGGTACAATTACCTGCGATCCCTCATATGCTTCAGAGTAAATGAGAAGCCAGACTTTAGGGAAAAGGTTAATTTCCACTTGCTTTGCACACCTGCAGCTGTGCCATTGACAGTAGTGGAAGTCTCCAGTGACTTCCTAAGATGCGTACATCTCATCTCAGGTGTACGTGATGTGTACAGCTACGCTGCAGATGCATGACGTCACTTTGCATCAAATATGAAGAAATATTGCACAGATGACTCAACAGAGGCCAGGGGCCCATGGAAGAAAGTAACAAAGCCTACAATCTGTGCCACAATGCAAGTGCATATCGGGAGTAGGATGAAGGTAGTGGAAAGTAGTTTTTAAATCATGCCAACACCGTTTGGGGATCGCCAAAACAAATCATTTATGTTGTGGTTAATAATGAGTGACATGAAGCCAACTGTGTAGGAAAGCTCTCAGCTCCACCCTTGGAACAATTTAATGAACTGAGGTTGAACAAGGCAGTGTCAGAGCTGTAAGCAAGATATGTGTCCTAGCGTGGCCCTCCAGTAACGTGGCTATTCATTGCCCGGCACTGTTTCCCCAAGGCAATGTGCCGTGCTGTGCAGATCAACCAAGAGCAGGCTCAGATATTCTCACGCCACAGTTGCATCATGCATGTGAGTATGTCCTTTAAGCTGTGCTTGTAGTGCAGGCAGGTCATCCAGGCTCACCAGTCAGTTCCAGGAGGATTCGGCCCAAAAAACAGCTTTAAGAATTAGCTTACTGTTCATACATTTTTTGTGGTCTGCCAGGTAAAAGGTGTGGGTTGTAAAAAATGTCTTCTCTGTATAACATTGATTCACTGTATGCGTGCCATTTTCCTTGCTGTTACACTGTGTCCTGATTACTGTATGGTCACTTGCAATCTCCGAAATAAGATGAAATGATCTGAAAATTCTGCTTAGGTAAATAAGCACTCAAGGAAATTATAGAAACAAATCCAGTGAATGGCATAATGAAAAGTGTGGTATTTTCTGCTGTAGTTTATATGCTAAATAGTTTGCTTCCATGAATGCAATTATAATACATATCGATTTTTTATTTATTTTGTCATAGGCTGAGTACTTCTACGAGTTCCTGTCTTTGCGCTCTTTGGATAAAGGCATAATGGCAGATCCAACTATAAATATCCCTCTGCTTGGAACAGTTCCTCATAAAGCATCAGGTTTGTGCTGTTGATATTATAAATTGTGTTCCTGTAAAAAATATTCCACAGCCAGTAAAGTCTAAATGTCTTCTTATGAATTGCAGTTCTGAAGTTTATTGCTAAAGAAATGCTTGCCACGGTGCTTGACATTGAACAGTTTGTGAGCGCCTTGCCTGACTACAGCAGCATATTTTGTCTGAGTCAAGTCACATGAAGCTTTTATGTGCAGATAAATCAGCAGAAACTTGTGCAAAATTGTTGTATAAAATTCATGTGCATGAATATTATTACTTAAGTTGTGCAACTTTTGGAAAACAAAATCTTTGGTCACTGTAAGGAATAGTTATCAAATTATTCTGTTTCTCAGAGGTTGCAGTTTGTGGACATTTTACTTTAAGTTAGGGTCAGCTGTTGTCACCAGACATTCAGCTCAAAGACACAAGTTCTAGTTTAGGATATTATCATTTACCACTTTTCCATTACTTGTGCGTTCTCAGTCCTTCACTGGAGCTTATAGCTCCACAGCAGAGGCTGAGCCCAAGCCAATGTGAGTGCCCCAGAAGCACCGTGGTGCACAGCGAGCCGCGTGGGGTAAAACAGCTTTCCACGAGAGGTTATCGAATCCGCTTTGCTCTGAAGTGGATGAATAACAGTCTACATGATCTGTTCCAGGGCTAATACGTGGTAGTCTCTGGCAGAAAGGCAGAAATGTAAATCTGCGTGACAGTAGTGTCTTAGTGATCATGGTTTCATGACCAGCCTTAGCCCCAACCTAAGACCATGTGGGAAAAATGGGAAAGAAGTGAGAAAAGGAATGAGAGGATGGGGCTGCATGTGGATCCAAGTGTAGCGCTGATGCACACAGGTTTACATCTTTGCCTGGTCTTTCTTTCTCTTCCCTTTTTTGAATGTATAAATTCTGAAAGTTTGTGTTTGATATCTTCCATTTTTGGCTTGTAGTAGAATGGTGTTGAAGTAATGTTGCAGCACAGCTTTTTGCTGTGGGACCTGGAATCTAACATTAACGATTGGTCTCTCCATTCACTGTGGATTGAATGAGTGGTATTGAAAATGGATTTGGATGAAGAATGCTATAATATTTGCACCGTAATTGCTGCAATTGAATTGATTGCAAGCCCAATAAATTGGCAAGTAAAGACATTTACTCTAAATGTAACTAAAAAGGTCACAAAGGCAAAGTTCTTGTTAAGCATTGAAATTATTTTCACCTCCATATAAAGCAGGTGAGATATGTGGGAAGCTCTGCACTCAGCATCCTCTAATATAAGTTACTTTCTCCTTTAATTTTTAACTATCTAAAAGGCTAGACCAAAGTGACCCCCTTCTGATTGTGTTTAAGGAAACATATAATCTGCAAGTGAAGGGAGGCCGGAGGTGCGATCTCACAGTTCCAGCAGAAGGTCTGTTAACCGTCATGGTAGGAGGTCTGATTAAAGCCAAAAAGGACTTACCCTGTTTGCAGCACTGGTACCTCAGTTCCAGGACTAATATGGGCATGTCCATGGTGTTTCCTTACGTGGAGCATGTGCAAGCGCACCACTGCATTTACTATATATAAGCTGTATTTAAGTTCTGTTTGGCATTATAGTGAGTCCAGTGTTTAACAGCGATTGATAATCAGTACCCATAAAGTATTTGAAGCATGTACGCTATTTAACAGTGAGCCACTAGCATGATGGTGGGTTTTTTTACGCTGCCTGCTAGCTGGCCGAAATTAACTAAGTAGCCTTAAATAAATACATGCTATAAAAATAATGAATGGTGGCTACCTTGTAGTTATTTCTCCAATTTATACCTTCGCAAAACTGCTCTGACAAATCTAGTCTAGTTCGGCTGAATCTATTGTATTACCAAATATTTTTTCTACACGTACACATGTCAGAAGAAATTCAGTCACAAACTTGTATTTAATAACACATCAAGAGTAGTAAGTTATTTCTTGAAAAAGCATTTTAGCCCGTAAGATTACACTAAAGACAATTAAGGAGGAATAAAAGAGGAAAGACAGCTGTGTTAGACATGAGAGTGGGAAACAAGAATGAGGATTAACAGTTAGATATCTTACTCAGAGGTAGTTGAACCCAGTGGTCTTGTCAAAATCAGTGGACTTTTAAAACTTCTTTCAAGATATTTGCCTGCCACCAATAAAGCATCAGGATGGCTTTAGTGCTTTAAGGCCTGCCTAGCCTGCATTTTGTCTTATGGCCAACGGCGGCCATAAGAAGATCTGTGGAAGAGCAAGGGGAGGGCAAGCATATGTGATACTTCTGTTTACCCTCTCAGCTCTGACTAGCTTCAGCTTAATCACTGAGTCTTAAGTGATTTGTCTTTTTTATAACCCCACATGGGTTACAAATCTCTCTTTCCAGTACTTATCCAGGCTGTTCTTGAGTCCATATAATCTTCTGGTATCTCCAATAGCTTTGGCAAGGAGTTCACTGCCTCCCATTGCATGAAGATCCCCCTCCTGTTGTTTTGAGTCTGGCTGCAACAGTTTCATCTGATGGGCACTAGTCCTTGTACTGGTAGAGACAGCAGTCAGTCCATACTGTTGGTCCTATCCGTGCCAGTCATGATTTTGTAGATGTCTATTATGTCCCCCCTAATTCTTCTCTTTGCCAGGCTGAAGAATCACAGCCTACTCAGTTGCTCCTCATTGGTTGCAGCCTTGTTGTCCTTCTCTCAACTTTCTCTAATCCAGTAGATCCTTAGTGAGATGAAGTATCAAATTCTCCTCAAATTTAAATTAGATTTAAATCACTTAGGTTCCTTAGACTCATTTGAAAATCCCATCCCCAAATCCCAGGATTGCTACCTGATTCAGCGTTCACAACACAGGTATTGTTGCACCTAGCCACATGGTAAGTTGTTAATATATGGTGAGAGGACTGGAGAAGATGGCTTTCAGTGAGAGCTTGAAGAGCTAAGACTACTCAGCTTGTCCAAAAGAAGATGTTTGAGTGGAGTGTGGGTGCCCGTCCAATGAGAAGAGGCTGGCTGCTCATTTCACAGGGGAAAGCCTGCGAAGATCCGGTGGTTCAAACTGAGGCCAGCAAGTTCAAAACGAAGTCAGGCGGTTTTGGTAGGGGCAGTGATTAACGCCTTGAACACCACACTGAGGAAGGTCAAACCAGCTATTGGTCTGTGCCCAGAAGAAATGTAGTGGCCTGTGGAGTTGGCCCCCTAAGTGACCTGAGCTGGCCCCTCCTGTCCCAGTCTGCACCAGCCAGTGCAGTGCCGTGCCGGTGCTGCCGGTGCAAGCTGACACACCTGGGCTGCTGACACAGCACTGCCTTGTGCAGGTCACACAGCACCCCCCCAGCGCACTGGTCAGGCTCAGGACACCTCCTCTCCCTGCCCACTTGTTGGTGTCGACACATTAAAACGTACGTGCTGAGCAACCAACAGTGCTGAAACTCTCTCCAGGCTCGGTGGGAGATACCGGTGCCTTCTCTGGGTGCAGCAGCAGCTGTGCTCACTCTGCCACGCTGATAGAGAGGGACGGTGGGCTGCAGGGCTTTGCATGGACTCCCACTCTTCTCCAGACCCTGCGTGCCTGCTTCTACTGGGATTGGTAATTCAGAGATGTCCCTTAAGCAATCCCACTCCTGAGACTGTAGGTGGCTTTTGGTGGTAGCTTTTGCATATTAACCAAGTGGGTAAAGCAATTGCCTGCAAATTTGAAGAGCTGTGCAGATACACAGGAGTTACTCTCAGCCTGCCTCTACTGGAGACAATTTAGGGAACCTTGGTTTCCTGAACAGAAGGAAAAGGCATGAGCTCCCAGTCAAAAGGGATTAAACCTGCATCCTCCACATCCCAGGAGAGCATTCTAATTACCAGCTAAAATTAAATTAGGTGTAAATCACTAAGTTTCCTTAGGTTCCTTTTCAAATTAGTTAAATTTTCCACACACCTGCTAGCGCTGTCTGCTCTGCAGCCCTGGATGCAAGGGCTCCAGAGGATGCAGAAATATAAATGTGCAGGAGAGGCAATTCTGTGGCCTGGTGGTGGGATGATGGCTGGCAGAGAGAAGTCCTGAGCTGTGATTCCCTCTCCTTGTTTTTAGCCAGTGATGGGCAAATGCAAACTGCATCCTGAATTTGGGAAGCAGGGTCCGGACCTCAGGTCTGCCCTGCCAGAGCCCTGCTGAGCGCTTCGGTAGCCCACGGGAGCTCACAGCCGTGGTTCTGGATGCAAGGGACTTTTGCTCTGTGCTTTGTTTTGACTGTAGTGCTGTTGCTGCGTGCTTAACATTATTCAAACAGGCATACAAAGGCAGGGATTCAGGCAGAGTTCAGGGACTTCATTTCAGCCCTGAACCACCACAGAGCTCAGCCAGGGTCCAGGTGCTCATTGCTCACAGGAGGGTCCTTTACTGCATTTCTGTGTGCCTAGGATTTCGGACGTATGGGAAGTCCAAAAATACGGATGCTTCCAGGGTGGGGAGTGCTGGAATAAGGGGTTTCTAACCTGTCCCCTCGGACTTTAGCCCTAAGAGATGCATGCCTGGTCTTTGCCCTAGGCATTTAAACCCACAGCCAAATCTCAGGGGAGATCAGGGGTTTGCTACCGATGCAATGAAGTCTAGATATGACTGTAGTGCCATCATTAAACATCTGCCATATCTTCCTCCCCATGACAATTTGCTCAGCTAAGTCACACACAGCCCAATACAAGCACTGATTTCCTGCACTTGCACTGTAAGAAGGTTACTACAGTTTAAGAAGTTCCCTGCATTTAAACTGTATTTAATCCACTGTAAGAGTTTCCTTCTTACCACATGGTTACATGCTTTTTGTAACGGTCTTTTAAAAGATCAGCATAAAAGTGCTTCAACAATGAAATTGCTTTATAATGAAAACTGCAACAGACCTTTCAGTCTGTAGGACTTACCAGAAGCAGAATGTGTTTCAGCAATAAATTATTCTGTATTATACCAAGGCAACAAATAACAAAAATGGCCCAATTATGACTTGCAAAATTTTTTATAACAAGCAATTTAAAACAAACCAAATGTAGGGCTGTTAGCTCAATATTTGGTTCTGAAATCTCAGGCCAGCTTCAGAAGAAATGCATAAACAACTTCTATTAGCTGGATCTAACTTATAAAGCAGCTAGGAAGAGCCAATTTTGAAGAAAAGAGATAAAATCGTTTCATCTGAAGATTATTTAAGATCACTTGTGACAATCACAGAGGAGCATTCCATAGCTGTGAGGTATCAGGCTTGCTTCCTCATTAAAATACTCCAGATTTACTGGTCTTAATTATTTACTTAAAGTCTTTGTAGTTCAAAAGTGTTTGAATACTTTTCCTGGAAAGGCAATCTCCAAATTTTGCTACACTTAAGAAGTTCGGTCAGAGGGATGTGTCTCCGTCTCCTTTTTAAATATTTGCACTCATGATCTTATTTATCAAATGTACCATCTTGCCAGCACTTTAAGGAGTAAGTTTTGATTAAATCAGTATTTTATTTAAGTATTAATTGCAATATCCAAAACAGCAAAACATATCTAAAGTGACTTTTTTTCCAAAATGCGTAAGGTGTTTTTGCAGAAGTTGTGTGAGAGCCTGCAAAATTCAGACTCAGTCATGATCAGCTCAGCTTAGAAAATTAAATATAGGCTTCCAGCTTGTTTTGGTGTTTCCTTAGATACCTCCACATGAGTAATTGCCTTGTTTGAAAGCAAAAGTATGTTTGTGTTAAGATCACTGTCTGCGCTGCAGACTGTTGGGGTTATGTCAGTAAATGAGCACAGGCTCGTCTCCTGTGCTGCTGTACTTCCAGTCCTGGAGCCGCCTATGATTAAGGTGATCTGTGTATCTCTGTGTTATAGGTTTTCATCAATGATGTTATTCTAAAGCTTAAATATAAATATTATCTGCATTTTTTAGTATGTCGATGTATGCTTTTATATGTATATAGCTATATGTGCATGTAAATATAAATATTGTTGTTACTATTCTCCTTTAAGTCGTTCAGGTTGGATTTCCTTGCCTTGGAAAACAAGATGGGGTTGCTGCATTTGAAGTGAATGTGATCATAATGAATTCAGAAGGCAATATTATTCTCCAGACCCCTCAGAATGCCATCTTCTTTAAAACCTGTCAGCAAGGTAACGCTGAAGAGGACATGCCGAAATACCGTTAGACCTGGTCACCTAAGTTTCTTATGTTTCATTCAGGAGAATGGCTAGAGAAGATGGAAATAAAGTGCTCGCACAATGTGTAGCAACGGTGGTGAATGCCAGGCTCTTCTGGCTCTGTCTGGATTTGCTGTTCATTTACCACATGTTTACTAACCCTTTTCTTACTGTCAACTATGTCTCCCTTAGCAGACTGGTTTGGAGGTATCTCTTCTCCTGTTCACAGCTCATCACGTCAAGGAAGCTGATAGAAATGTATCATGTGAGAAGCACCTGTTAGCAAATTATTTGAGGTGCTTGGAGGAGAGCTAGTCCTGTGATAACAAGCTAAGGCTAACATTTCCAGAAGTGGAATAATTGGAGAACTGAACTTCTGGGATCTGTAGTGGGGACACTGGCTTCAATAAATACTGTTTAGTGCCTTAGTTCAACAGTTCCTTAAATCTCACCTTGCACATACAAACCGAATGCAAAAATCCTAAATCAGAACATTTTTGCAAAACTTGGCTTTACCTTCTCTGGAGCTCAGATGGCAACCTCTTGGTTTTGGATACAGGTAAGGTGGTGGAAGCTGGTCCTCAATACTTGCAGTCATCAAGCAGTAAACACACATAGGTTGCACTGGTAGAAGAAGGGCACCATGAAGTTATTACAGTGTTTACTTGGAAAGGAGGGAACCTGTTTAATCAACCAATCTATGAACCATAAACACTATGTAATAAGACTTTCTGGATTAATTTGATACACTACAAACAACTATAATTATCACTTTAAACTGAGGCTGTAGAAATTGAAAAATCAGTATCTAAGATAAGGCAGTTATCCCATGTCATGTGCAATTGTATCAAATTAACCCATGACAGGGCTGATGTACAAAGAGTGAGATTTTTATTCTTCTCCTATTAAACCTTTGTTCCCAGTCCCACACTTTCTTCTCTGCGCTCTTTCCTCTGAGCTAATTGGCTGTAGCGTGGCTTCAAAGAGCGAGCAGCAGGAGCAGGAGTTGTTCATGCTTTGAAACCTCACTACACCTAAATAGCAAAGCTGCTTGTCTCCTTTGAAACCTCGCTGCTGCCAATTAGCCCAGGGAAAGTGGAGGAGGGGGAGAAGAAGTGGGCAGAGAAACAGGAAGGAAAATGGGGACTTAATGGAAGTAAAAATCAATCAGATCTCATGTCTGAAGTTGGATGTCTGATATAAATACAATGCAAAACATTTGCTATCTTTTTATTTTCAGTTCAGTTCAAAGATACTGAACTTAAACTTTGGAAAGTGTTTGGGTAATCTAATAGGGAAAGCAGAGTTACAGGTCTGTATTGTGGAAAAACGTGGCTTAAACAGAGAGGGCTCCAAACTCAGTTTAGTAGTAGCATTCATCCAAGTTATCGTTTCTGTGCTATTAGTTGTTGTTGTTGTTGTTGTTGTTGTTGTTGTTACTATTTTGATATGAGATGTAATATTTAACAGTTTAGCAGTATTGCATCACATGGCCTCTCAGGAAAGCTGGGGTTGATTATTGTCCCAGTCCTTTGTTCCCAGCGCCAGCTGAGAGATGTAAGGACGATTTCCCAAACTCTAGAGGTGGGCAGAGGAGGAGTTTTCCCACCTCGTCTATTCCAGCACGTACTGGGGTAACTCCCACTCCTGCCCTCCACCCTGTGCAGTGGACACTGCAGTGTTTTGGGACAGATGCTGAGAAGGATGAGAATGTCCTTACTGGTTGGTGTTAGAGTAGGGGTGAGTTTCCTTCCTCTGAAAGATGTCGTTCGTGGCGAGGAGCTCCGATTCCTCCTGTCGGGGCCCCGGTCACTGTTTCCAGTCATTCTTGGCCATCCAGAAGGGACCCTGGCCAGAGGAAGTGAGGGGAGCAAGGGAGCAATTTTGTGGGAGAGGAAAGGCTTTGTTGTGGCTAAGAGATAGCCACACAAAAAATTATGTTTTCCTATTTTTCTGTTTGAAATGGTATGTATTTAAGCATGCATTTTCTGTAATGAATAGCAGCTCTGCATTCGGGTACAAAGAGAGAAGCATTTCCAGAAAGAGTCCTAGAATACAGTGTTGGAACACAATAAGACAAAAAAGCCTTTACCACTATTACTACTGCTGCAAACAGCTTTACTTTTAAAGCAACACTTTTTGCTTCATGTATCTATGGCCTTGGATGGAAGAGCATTTTAAAATCACACCTTTCCTCCTCTCTCTTTCCTGTTTGTTTGGCAGTTGTACACAGCATCCAGCCACCTCACCAGTACATCAGATTTTCTTTCCTTTCACTTAGTCTCAGAGTTACCCTTTGCATCCCACTAAATAGAGAGCTATAACGCGAGTGCAGCACAACACTGCTCGTAGTTATAGCAGCCATTATTTCCTGTGGCTCTAATCAGCTATTAGATAAATTTTCAAAAACAAAAGTTTATTTGTGTATGAGTCTAACTAACAGATATGTCACCTGACTCAAATATTAGAAGAAGGGAGACTCATTCAAATTTGTTTAAGTCCAGGGTTATGTTTTCCTCTGTTTTAATAGGAGTTACAGTTTAAAGAATCTCTGTGGGCTGCAGAAGTATTTCAGGCAACCTGACCCTCCTGAATTTATAGACATCCTGCTACTCCTTACCACTTTAAACAAATGCATTTTAAAGGCTATAACTGCTTGAATTTGAACTCGGGTATTATTCAGTTGGGAATCAGTGTGAATCAATGGTGCATCTTTACAGCCTATGGATGGTAGGTGCCAGCACTTTCTGATGCAATCAGGTGACAAGGCAATGGAGAAGAAGTAAGGATGCTGTTGGCAGGTGTTGTCAGTCACGATGTTTACAGCACTGTTACACTAAAAAAAAAAAAAAAAGACGTGATACCAACATTACAGACAATTGCTGTCTAATAGATTACCTTCAAGTTTGGGTTGAGATGGTTGCAATAAGATTGCTCTCTGAGTTTCAGTCTACCTCAGAGTTTTTTGAACCTTCTCACTCAGGAGTGTCACGCAGCATCAAGATGAGCAGGTCATGCCTACACTGCTAAAGCTGCCTTGTGACCCTGGTAGCACCAGTCGCAAGTGATGTTCACTTTTTCTAATGGGAGTAGGCAGCCTCTCCTGCCTGCCTTCTTTTCTGTGAGAGATCTGGGAAGGTATTTTTGAGCAATTGTTTTTCTGCCCAGCAGTCATGTTTTCGTGGGGTTCCATAGGATTCAATTTGTTTTGCCTCTTGTTTGATGGACTCTGGTGTTTTGAGGATGGTGATGGTACCCAGAGGTATTTCTTGTCCTTGCATAATGCAGCCAGTGTTGCCAAATGCTTTAACCAGTGTTTGATTGATAGTCGAGATGTTAATGAGTTGGATAACGATATAGGACCACTGTGCAGG